CATATTCAACAACACATTGATGTTGATGTTTGATTCATTGCCTATTAAAGATTAACCCTAATGAAAACTTGCGGTCTCTAAGCATCCTCTGAGTCTAGATATGAAGTTTTTAAATGGCTCCCATGTTTCTAATGGATCAAATGAAAACGCTGTATTGAAACACCACTGAACTTGGCGAAGCTTCCAAACCGAAATCTGGCTTTGGATCTGAAGTTTGCAGAACAAGTACCTCTCCTGAGGACCCTTTGTTCTTGGGCATACATTGTATTCTGCCTTTTTAGGGACTGTTAAGAACACAGTATGGCTAAGCTACATTTGTTTGGTGCTTTTTTTTTATGCCTGCTAACACTGACCAAATTTGAGGGGGAAGTGGTGTAATGGCCCTGTAACCTTAACCATAATCCAGTCCAGAACTTTCTCCATCAAGTGGTATCCTTACATTCACCCTTCGTAGCCTTGCATCTCACTAGGATATAAATTCAACAACTCTTTTTCTGTCAGAAAAAATATAGCAATCCCCTCATATTACCCAAGCATTATTTCTAAATGTTGTGTGTGTTCTTGCTTCTCTCCTTTCTTTTCCCTGTTCTTTCCTTTTGTTAAATTTGTTCTAGTTCAGTGGCGATGCATAGGGGGTGCACATGCACCTCCTTAGATTGCCGGTGCACCCCCTGACCGGCTGCACTTGCCACTTAGATGATGTGCAGGGGGAGCAGGCGGGAGCACTGGTGTGCCCCCTGCAGGCACCGGCTGATCGCTGCAGCCGCTTCTAGAATTGGCCACAGGTACTCCTGGAAGTGGCTACAATGATCAGCCGCAGTGATTGGCCACAGGGGGTTCCCCCGGGCAGAGAGATCAGCCGCAGGGGACCCTCCCCTGGTCAGCAGGATCGGATGGGGGGGGGTCCCCCCCCCCCCCCGGTTGGCGGGACTAGTCATAGCGGGGCCACGTGCCCCCCCTGACTAAGGCGGCACCAGTTGCCCATGTTCTAGTTCCTCTCTCTTGCCTTCCATTTGTTCATTTTTATTTTCCTACCATGTGCTCTTTGTTCTTACTTGATTTTTTTCCCCAAGTTGTATTTATTTCCCTCTTCCCTGGATGATTTTTCCCCTTCTTTTTCTTTCTCAGGTACCTTCACATCTATCCTTATATCATTGGAATCTTCTGTGGAAAAAGGAGCTATTGATCATAGTAATAGTTGTTCTTGTTGGTGTTGTTGTTGTCTAGCTGCCCAAATACATACCTGATCCTAGTCATCCTGCATGGGCATCCTAATTTTTTACTTGAAAACATCAAGTCACTTTAACTCCATTAGAATTTGGGGGCCTTGGTATATATTTTTGAAGTGACTGCCTCCAAGTACTAAGTGTCAGTGATTGTCAGGCTCTTCCTAGCTCAGCCCAGCAAGGTTGTTGGGAGTAAGCACTGCCTCCCTCTGTTCACCACACTTTTATCTAGAGCCTTCTGGCTACTGCTTATGCAGCAATCAGATGGTGTTCTAACCTTCCCCTGTCTCTGTTTCTGATCTCTTCTTTTCTGTAGAGAGCTCCAGAAACTGCAGAATTTTGAATGCTAACCAGAGTTCCATCAACTTTCACTGCTGCTGGTGGAAAACAGTGAAGCTGGCAAGAATTGGAGCAATTTCAGTTTACTGCTTTTTGGGAAGGCTCCAAATGCACAGGCATTGGAGCTACCCTTCTGTAGGTTCATGCAAGCAGTTTTGGATCAGTCTATTTTTGGTTAAAACTTAGAAGGTTTCTCCACAAAAGTAGGTGTAGAAACTATTTTTTTGTTCATAAGTAGAGCCTAGGTTCACTCATGAAAGTTTCTAGAGATTGAATGGATTGTTAGGCTCTGTTTTTTCCTGATCCAATCCCTCAATACCTCACTTTCATGTGCACAGAAATGCTTCGAGGCCCAGTTCATGCAGAACCATCATAATCAGGATTTTAGATGTTTTCTCTGCAAGCTCTGTGGTATGAGAAAAAACACTACTTTTTTTTTAAACTGGTGCCATGTTTCTATGAAGTATCCTTAGAAACATTAAGCAAAGAGGATGTAATCATTTTATCTCTGTCTTGAGGTAATTTCTACTGCCAGATAATATTAGGAGTTGGATTCATGGATGAAAGGCAACACATTTTCCTGTGTCTCTCAGCATTCAACTCTTGGCTGCTCAGGCTTTGGAAAACAGCTAGTAAGCTTTGGACATGCTCTGAGTCTAGTCTTAGCAGAGCCACATTTGTCCTTAGATCATTCCATTTACAGAAGGCACTGACATGCTTGGGAGTGGGCGGGGGGAGCATTTTAATTAAAGCAGTTTCCAGAGAACTGCTCTAATTAAAATACCTCATCGTCACATGTATTAAGCATCCCACATTTTAAAATGGCTGGGGGGGAGATGGGGGGTGCTTTAACTAAAGCTTATTCAATGAGTTTTAGTTAAAGTGCTCTCATGGCCGTTTTGAAATGTGGGATGCTTAATACACGTGACAGTAAAGCCTGCTGGAGCATTCTAATGAGAGCATGTCTATAGGCACCCTAATGTACTAGGGATTTGATATTAGAGTGGGTGGATACACAGCAGAAGGAGAAAATCCCAGTTTTCATTTTTATGCACACACACACACACACACACACACACACGCATGGACGCACGCACACACGCATGCACGCACGTTTACTTTTCTTTTTTTTCCTGTTTTGAGGAAAATAATCCAACCACGTGTGCAGTTGGCTGAAAAAAAGAAACATTCCCCTCCCCTAACCCCCAAATGTGCTAGTGCCTCCCTTTTTTTTTTTTTTTTGCACAGATTGGAAAAAAGTTCTCATATTCCCAACCAGTTTTGCACGGTACTTTGCTATTGGCTACAGAACTGATTTTAATAAGGTCTCATAGGTTATAGCTGGTATTGCCAGCATAACCCAAAGGCTGCAAGTGGGTGTTAAACATTCCCCTTCCCCACCCCTCATTTATGTGCAATCCTCAGAGGACATTCCAGCCCTTAGCTTGACAGCCAGGCTTTTCAGCTCAAGCTGTAGATTCATGCTTTTAGCTCTAGTGATCCCTGAGTCAGTCATGAACTAACAGTGGCTAAAATGGTGCCCGTCACTGCCATGGTTCTCTTAAGAATATTTTTGGCTAGCAAAGCTCACGCTGCTTTTAAGAAAGGAAGGCATGTTATCTGCATGTGTAGAGAAATACTTGGCATCCATTCTGGATTTCATAGGCCAGTAACACGCAGGATGTTAAAATATCCCAGATGGAATTTAGATTTGAACTCCACTGACCAAGAGACGGAGCACACCATGAAGTTACATGGGGATGTGAACACATTACTGCTGCTTAATGACACCGCAGGGCACCATTTCTGGTGTCCTAATGCAATTTTCCTTCCGCCAGCTGACAAATCTCAAAAAGTGGCAGCCCCCGCTGGGCAAAGTTTCCAAGGTGGATCAAAACGTGTGCGTGCCCATGCAAAGCAGGCAATTTCTTTCACAAACAGGCACCGATGCGTCCAGTTATCCATTTTGTTTATGCAAATGCAAGTTTTCACAAGCACAACAGCTGTGCCGGTGTTGGGGCTGTTTCCACAAGGAGCTCAAATCGTCAACTAAAGAAGATGTGTCTGGTAATAATGCTCTGGGGAGTGCATTTCTGAGGGATGGCTCACACCGATAGCAGGATAAAGACACTCACACAGCCTTGAGACTCACCACTCTGGTTGGCCAAAAACTTTGGCCATGAAATCTGAGAGCAGGGGCCATTTTCAGCATTGGGGGGGGGAGGTAAAATCTCTGAGGGGGTGAGGGGGTCAAAAATGAGGTGTCCCTCTCTGCCCCTGAAACCCAAACACTTGGCTGAATTTTGTGGGTGATTTTTTAACATGTTCTTTTGGGGCTTTAGCTTTGCACCCTGCACAGCATCCCTCTGCCCCCTCCAGCTGAAACACTTGGTTGAGTTTGGTAGGTGATTTTTTAACACATTTTTGGGGTTTTTAACTTCGTATCCTGCGCAGCATCCCTCTCTGCCTCCTCATACCCAAACACTTGGCTGAGTTTTGTGGGTGACTTTTGAACACATATTTTAGGGTGCTGCTTGGCAGGAAGCCTTCCTGCACATGGGAGAAGAGAGCTGGTTTTGAGCTGTCCCTCAACTTGGCTTCCTTTGGGAGGGAAACTCATGCCTTCAAGTGAGTTCAGTCCCTTCCCCCTGGCTCTCAAGCCCTTCCCCTCACTTTCCCCTCCAACCATGTAGCTGTGTCTAAGAACCGCCTCGCAGGAAAACTGCTCTTCTGGCGTGGTTCAGTACCCACTGAGGTGCAGTGGCTTTAAGCCCAGTTTATGGAAATGGGAGTGTCCTCCCTTGCTTGCTCTGAGAGCCTTACAGCTGAGGCAAGCAAAACTCGGGGGCACCCGAACCCCAAGCCTCCAGGGGTAGGCCTGCAAATCGGATGCCCGCCAAAGGATTTGGAAACATCTGAAGCCCCAGGTGTGGGTGGAGGATGTTTGCCAGTAGCGGGGCCACTTGTGGTTCTGGACTCCTGGATCAGTTTTGACAGATTTGGCCTCAGATACAAATTAAAAAAAAAGAAAAAAGGACTCTTCCCCCTCCAGCCCCTTTCCCCCTGACTCTCAAGCCCCTCTCACTGCCCCTTCCCCCTGACTCTGCCCCCTCCACAGCCCTGCCCGCAGGCTGAGCCCCCGCAGCGCCAGGCAGGACGGCTCGCGCGCGGCTCAGGTGGCCGCCCCTGGAGCGCGCCCCTCCCGCTCCTTCTTCCTCCTCCTCCTCCTCCTCCTCCCCTGGACTTTCCTCTGATGTCACCAGCTGCTGGCAGGCTCCTCCCCCCCGCATCCCCTGCATGATGCGGGCGCAGGCTCCGCCTCCCGGAGCGAGTCCGCTCCTCGCGTTCATTTCATTCCTCGTCTCATTCCGCACATTCTTAGCATCGCTCGCGCCGCACCAGCCCCGTGCAGCGCCCGGCCCGCCCCGCCGCCGGCGCGGGCAGTAACTAATCACTTGAAGGGCTTCCATAATCCTGCACCCAACCATCTATACGGCCCGGCCCGACCTAGAGAAAAAAAGTGCAGGGTTAAAAATAAACACGGGGCTATAAATAGCCCCCCACCAGCCCGGGGGGAAGCTGGAAGAAGTTTGCAATTGCATTGCAAAGCGCTGGTGGTGGTGGTTGGCAAAGGTGGGGAGAGTGGCGTGGAGGTAAGTTTTGTGCGGGTGTGTGTGTGTGTGTGTGTGGCCGCTGCCGGGAGGGAGCTGCTTCCTTGCACATCTCCCTCTCCCTCTGCTTTGTGTGGCTGGGGAGGGGAGGGGAGGGGGGGGGGGGCTCCTCTCTTTTATGTTCTTGGAGAGCTCTCTAGGTTGCTACCCCCCCTACCCCCCTCACCTCCAATCCCTGCAGGTGACCCGGGGAGGAGGTGACTCGGGGGGGAGCAAGGAAGGGGACCTGGGGCGGGGGAGAAGTTGTTTCCAATGGAGTTTTTGCTGCTTTGGGGTTTTAGCCAGAGCTGCAACAGGCGGCTGCTCTCTCTCCCTCTCCCTGCTCCTCGCTGCTGCTTTCACTTAGTTGCCTGACTCACTCTGCTGTGCAGCCTGGCGGGCGCGCTCCCTCCCCTCCCTCCCTCCCTCTCTCTCTCACACACACACACACACACACACACACACACACACACTCTCTCTCTCTCTCTCTCTCTCTCTCTCACGCACACGCACACACACACACACTCGCTCACTCTCAGGCACGCACAAATCTTTGGCATTTTTCACATTTTTTTCCCCGGAGAAGCCAGAAGTTGGGCTTGCAAAATCAAATCCAAATCCTCCTCCCCACCCCCCCTCCAAAAAAACCCCCAAACCAAAACAACCCCCCAAAAACCCAACTTCCCCCAGCGCCGGGCTGTGCAAAGAAGTGGCTCCATGTGAATCCAGGGAGCCGTTGGGTTTGGTGCTTGGAGTTTTGTTTGCCCCCCTCCCCCCCTTCCTCACCCCTCTCCTCTCTTCTCCTTTTTCTAAAAATTTTTAAATCTTTTCCTCAAAAAAAAAAAAAAAAAGATGAAAGAAGGAATGTTCTTTTTTGCTGCTTCTTCTGCTTCTCCAGAGCTGCTGCTGGTTAATTGCACATTCAAGTGGAAAATTTTCGGGAGTCAGCAGAAACATTGTATCCAAAAAAGACAAAGTCGCAGTGGCAACAAAACTGAGGAGCTTGTCCCTGGAAAACTTCCTTTCGGTAGGAACCCGAGGGTTATTTATTTATCCTGACCGTTTTCAAGAGATCTGTTCTACAGCTGGCCCCAGCGCTTTTCCAAAGGGCCAAGTCGCAGCCTTTGTTCAGGGGAGTAACCTTTTTGAAAGGAAGTCCACTTTTCAAAGGGGAGGGGGAGGGCAAAACTTCCAGTGAAGCTTCGGGGAAGAAAAGGCAAACCCAGCAACAACAAATAAATATTCCATAACAAGAAAAAAAAACAACAAAAAAACCCCCCTTCCAATGAGACAGAAAGAAATCACTTGTGTGCATCCATCAACCAAAACATAAAAAAAGTTCAGGCTCCTACTTCTGTTAAATCCCATTCCTGATTCTTTTTTTGCCTGCTCTCTTGCAATCTGTTTCACGTTGAACGGCGTTACTGTATAAAAATATTTATGAAACAATGAAATTGCAGCCACCCGGGCTTCTCAGGAGAGTTGTTAACTTGTTAGAAACAAGTGCCTGCCTTTGATAGGAAGAAATGAAAAGTAACCTCAATAACTGCTGCAAAGTTAGGGAGCAGTTACGCTCCACATTTTCTGAATGTAGGTGGCTGCCAATATATATTTTTTTTTAACTGTTCATAACAGCACCATCTGGGAAAAGGAGGGCCAAGAAACCTGTCAGATCTCCCTGACGTTTTTTGATTTAAAATATTATACATGCGAAATCCAAGCTGACATGGTAGAGAGTGGCAATGCAGCTGTATTGCTCTTTGAGGAGCGCATAGCCTACCTACCCCATACATTGGTAAAGTTTGGAAACATACTGTTCCTTTTTAGTTGTTTTATAGAGATTGGTGAAATGGGATTATGTAAAAACTGTACAGCTGCATTTTTGTTTGCTCAGTAGTCTCATATTATAAAAAAAAAGTGTAACGCTTATTTTTACAAAGTCAGTCTTGATATGTCAGTGTGTGTATTACTGAAAATGCATCTTATGGAAACATTCAGCTAAACAGCAGACAACATTATATTAACTCCAGTATGAGCACAAATGTATCTCTAGGATCAGGATTATTATTGGATCAGGATTTAACCTCAAATAATGCAAGATTTTTCATAGATTCCTAGATTTGGAATGTTTCCCCAGAGCCTATAGCGTAGTGCCATCTCTGTAAATAGTGAATACCATTACAGGGGCATTAGATTCTACTGGGAATGGTGTAGTACAATTAAAAATGATAAAAAGCTCTGTATTAAATTATTTTTGAGGTCTATATGTATTTAATTTCAATTTGAAATCCTAGATTTAGTAATACAGTAAGTATTCATAAGGAAGTGAAATTGGAGAGTTTTTTATGTGGAAGTATATGACATGACATTTATAATTTAGGACTGTTTCAAGAATGTTACTTTTTTGAAAGAATATTTAAACATGCACAGTTTTTATTAAGTATGTTTATTTTTCATTTTTGTTCATGTAATGCCTATTTTTCTCTGTAATGACTTAAAATTTGGTCATAATGTGTTTTCTAAAGTAATAGGGGCAATTATGTATTTTATATCAGCTGATTAAGGAGAGAGGTTTGGGATATAAATGGTGTGCCTCAGTTTTTCTTCACATTAGTGTAGGAGTACCAATGGCGAGTACTGTATTGTGAAATCCATGCTAGACATATTGGAAACAAGATTTTAAATAGTTTATTTAGGTGATGATGATTTCTTTTTAACATCAAGAAAAACAAACTGAAACAGACCTTCATATTCAACATATGACCTGACTTTATGAATTCTTTGTTGATCAGAACCCAGAATGTAGCTAACATAGAGTGTACACAAGAAGCAAGCAGAGAGAAATTCTGATTTCATGTGATCCTTCTGAGGACAGCATCAGTTTAAGGAAGTTTAATTAACAGTGGAAAGGGATAATTTAAACATAACTGTGAACTGGACCTCAGTGAATTTCCAACTGAGACTGTATTGTGATGTGTTTGTGTATGTTTGCACGTGCGTACGTGTTACGTGTTTGGCATAATTTGAAACTAGTATTTTTTTTCAGTTTTCTGCCAGAACAGTGAAATAATTTTGGGCAGGTATAGGGTAGTTTTTGCTTGACTGAAAAAGTTATATTCAGCTAAGTTGTATTTGGAGGGATGGGAAAAAAAGAACTTTGGATTTTTTTTAACTAATTAGGATAGGTAAAATTACGGGGAATCTCTCAAAATCCAGTAGACTAGAATAATAATATAGCTTTTTAAAGCTACAGAGAAAAATAAGTATAGGAATGACAACTCTTAATTAATAAAAAAAAATAACATAAAAATAACTTTATTTTTGGAGTATAATTGTTAGTTTATGACCTTGAAAGTCAGGATGGCTATTCAGTTCAGAGAAATAAATGATTTTGTATTAAAGTTTCTGGGATTATTTACAAAGTAGTCCATATCTGCATTGAATTTTGAGTGTGTAGGTGTGTGGGGGAAGGTTACCTTACAATTTGTGTCCTTCAGAAATTGTCTTTTGAATGCATGTTTTTGAGATGCATCTACTGACACATATATACATGCACAAACATGGCTGTTTTCTAATTTGGTCCTCTTCCTGACATATTAATATTATGTCTAATATAAGATGGCGTGATAGAAAACAAGTAGTATGTTTCTAAAGCTATGCTATTATTTTAGGACTTAAATATTTGGAAGACAAAGTCCTTACTCAAGTTAAAGTCAATGAGATGACTCATACAAATAAACATTTGATGGATTGAATACTAAGATATATACAGCATATGCTTTATATATAGGGGTTTAATATGATACTTCGTGTCTAAAGAAGGTAACGGACACATCTGTACATCTTGTATAATTATGATCAGTTAAATATGATACCAAACTAAATTAAAAAATAAGACAATATGAGCAAGGGATCTAAGTACTTGCCTGTCTCATCGCCTCATTATAAAACTAAAAAAAACAAGTTTCTATTAAGTTGGTCAATCAGTCTCTTAAGTATAGTTATCCACAGCAAATGCAGAGGTAAAGTTGGCCTCTGAGTTTCAGAGAAACTGAACTTACATAGATCTCTGAATTTACATGAGTGTAAGCAAGAGTATATCTTGGCCATCTACTGTAGCACTGAAATCTCCAGTTCCTCAAAGGGCCTTTTATTTACGAAAGTAAATAATAGACGTATTTTTGTGGACCAAAATGCATGGTATTTGGGACATAATTGCCATTTGTCATTTTGTGGTAATTTGCTGTGAAGGTACAGTAATTTCCTATTCTAAAACTTAAGTCACTCTTGACAAAACTTTTGTCTAGCTTGAGAAATAAATCAATTTGCTAAGAAGAAGCTGTATGTTGCTTTTAGAGATTTTGTTGAAGTGTACACAAGTACTGTATTTAAATTATATAGCTTGTGCTGCAAGGATGGATTAATTACATTATTTTTTGGTAATGTTGGCAGATTCTGGCTACACTAGGGGCACATTTTTTCTAAAGGTAAAAAGATCTATAATACATTTCCCACTTCAGGGATTTATCTTGCCCTTTGCCTTTGCTCAAATCTCCTTTTGACTCTTGTGTGGAACAAGGATAGAATATTATTTCCTGGTTAAAAATGTGTGTTTGGTTTCTATGATTGCTCATTTCCAAAATGGAAGAGAACTAAAAGACACCTCCTTCAACATTTTGATATTTCACATGCTAACACACATTAATCACCTAAAATAATTATGGATGTAACTCTGATGATTTATTCTCCCAATAACTTTAGGTCTTTAGATGAAATCCTGTTTCCATTGAAGTCTATGCACACTTTACCGTTGATTTTACTTTGATAGGGCCAAAATGTCATTGATTATGCTGATACCAGTTGGGCTATATTAACAATGTATTGGTTTTAAAGACAAAGGATCACTAGACCAATTTTATCAAGCACAACTTTCTGTTCATTTCAATGGGGAGTTCTGTTCATAATTCTGCGCCATAATCTGTTTCATAATAACTAATTTGATTAAATATCTTACACAGGAAGTGCCTTCTTGTCCTATAGACTGATCAACTAATTTTGTACTACATACAATAATTTGTTGGGTGCATTTTTGTAGACACATCAGGAGCACTACGAAAATCCATTCAGAGTGTGAAATGTTTAAGGAAACTTCCATAATCACTGTAGAGATGCAGATCGTCTTTCCCAGTTTCTCCAAATTATAGCAAGGTTCCCCAAAGGCAGCCCAATTTATTTTGGAGCAGGTCCAATAAAAGGTATTGCCTACAACTACTTGTTCTTTGTTTCTTAGTCTTTGTTTACTGGAACAACATGATTACCACTTCTACATCCTGTTGTACAGTTCCAAATGGCCTTCTTAGATTTCTAGCTCTTATTAGCTCTTCATTAGACATTTTAATCTGTGGTATTATATGTTGTAGCAGAATGGTATGAATACAGAATGTAAGTCTGTTTAGTAGAATATCCCTGGTCTCAGAAGATAATGTGGAATTGCAGTGTGCTTGGAAAAAGAAGTTTAGGATTCTGTGAAAAATTGTGAAAATGCTATTGACTGGGAATCTAAAACAATGACGAATGCAGTTGTTTTTACAGATACGTAAAGTGAAAACTGCTGCTAATGATGGGAAATGTTAATTATGTGAGAACATATTGAACTTATATTCTCTGGCATGAACTTTTTTTAAATGCATCAACTGTGCTGCCTTTTATGCGCACAGCTTTCTAATTATCATAATTCAGTACAGCTCTGGCTTTTGGAAGGAGTTCAAGTGCAATCTCAACTTAACATGAAAGGAGAATTAAAAAAACTGAGAATGTTCAAGAACAATTTGAAAAGATAATCTAAAAGTGCTACATATTTAGTTGGGTGTAAGTCAGAAAATATATAACTGGTTACCAAAGCAGTTCAGATTATTAAACTGGGCAGTTATCTATTTTTGTCATTGTCTTTTATACTCCTACAAACATAACTCAAAACGCATATTTTATAATTGGATACTGTGGGCTGCTTTCCTCCATATTGGTAAA